TGCATCCAGCTGTTCGGAATACAGAAGCATGGAAACGAGGTGTGGTGGCCTATAGAGGGAGTAGCAAATAACTTCCTCTGTAGTAATACAAAGACAGTAGCAAATACTCAAGCAGTACTATGTGAAATTAAATCTAACTTGTATATGAGGCATAATATAGTTTTAGTCATCTCATAATTAAGCTGGGGCTTCATGTATGAGATATCAGATTCAGCCTGATTCCTTCATTTATAATTGACAGTATATTCCTTCCAAAACGATCGTCTAGCTACCTTGCGATTTTGTATGACCATGTAATTTGATTCTGGCCAATGGTGTATACATATTTGGTATAATTAATTTCTAGCAAGTGTCCTTTAAAAAAAGTTTTGTTTTGTTTTGTTTCTGTTTTCCTCCTTCTGCAGTCTGACCCCTGCTGCCTCTGTATAGACCTATAAAGTTTAAAAGCAGCCATCTTGGACAAGTTGCCTTGAGACCATGCATGATGGAACAAAAAGGTGGAGCCTGGCTTGTTGACACTATAGAGTGCTATTTCCACCCTGGGCTACTTATTTGCCAAACAGAGACATCAATTACATTGTTTAAGCTAATGTAGTCCTGAGTTTTCTCTTAGTCAAAGGTGAAATTAACCCTAAGAGATACTCTAATAGGAAGTTCTATTTGTAGAGTTCTCTGCCTTCTGAGGTACCCATTTAATTCCAAGGAAAATTTGACACCTTTGTCCTACCATATTCTAAAATACAGGCACTTCCAATGAAACATTCTCAACACTTTCTATCAGTGCCAGTTCCATCCTTACTATCCCATAGAATCTTCCAGTAGAGTCAAGCATCGATCTTTGTGAGGCTCAAATTCCAGGAGACCCTGTGTACAGGTCCCTGATGAACTTGAACCCGTGGATCCCCATAAGATGGCTTGAAATTGTAGGAAGAGTTCGGACATTTACTCTCTAATGAGGAGGCAACTAGATACATTTAGCACTTTCCACGTTTCTGATATCAGATGACTGTCACTGAGAAAGACATTAACAGAATGATCTACAGAGGGATTGGTCCTTAAAAGCCATGTAGTGGGAAATTGAGAGCTTGCAAATTCACTTCAATATCCAAAATCAACTGGAAGAATACAGGCAACTTTCCCTTGCTTAATAAATTTACCACTGGCTGGTTTTGCCATTCTCATCATATTTTAGGAACTTAATGATGAATCATCCCAAAAGTTTATGAAGAAATGGGATCTAGGTGCAGTTATTCTTACAGCAGGCACTGTTTGGGGTGTTTCCTGGATTTCTTCTGAGTAGCATTCCATTGATGTTCCCACCAGACCTGCCATATGAAAGCTCTGGCACTTTCTAACAAATATATCCAGAGGAGTCCTTCCATATTTCAAGGGCTTTTATGGTACCCAAAGGTAGTTTCTCCAACTTTACATTTATGTAATAGTGATTTATGTTTTTTCTTCTATGTAAAATATTATAAATTATTTTGTAATATTTCATGTACTTCAGGGAAAAACTTCAGAGTAGTAAAAACATCTGAAGTAGTTATTCAGTCATTTTTGAATCATGAAAATTTGACTTTGACAGAATATTTTTATAAGAATATATTCAACTATTCTCATTTATTTTACTTGATTAAGACAAACTACTTAAAATTTTGTGTGTTGTCCTTATCAGACACTATGTACAAATTTGAACAAAACAGAAATTATTATAATCTCAGTTCATTTCTACACCAATTTCATAACCATATTATGATTAAAATGTGAAGTTGATGTCACTAAACTTTTATAGTATTCTCGAGGTGAATGTGAAGTTTCCAGCAGGAAAGAGAAAATAAAAAACAGGAGTGGATTTAAATATAGAAATGCACAAGAAGGGGCAAAAATTAGCCATAGGAAAAGCATTTCCAATTATTGGCAGTTTTCTATATGAATTCTGTAATGATGATTATGTGAGAGAAAAGAGGTCAGTAATCAACTAATACAAACAGACATCATGACTACATTAGAGATTATACATGCCCAAAGGTTGAAAGCGGTGTTTATCATCCTAAGGTTTTTTTTTTTTAATTTTTTTTAAAGATTTTATTTATTTATTTGACAGAGAGAGACACAGCGAGAGAGGGAACACAAGCAGGGCGAGTGGGAGAGGGGAGAAGCAGGCTCCCCGCAGAGCAGGGAGCCCAATGCGGGACTCGATCCCAGGACCCCGGAATCATGACCTGAGCCGAAGGCAGTCGCTTAACCAACTGAGCCACCCAGGCGCCCCTATCATCCTAAGGTTTAGCAGTAGTGGAACACCATGCACAATAAGCTCTCTTAGTCTTTGTTTGGAGTCTTGCATTTCTCGTTTTTGGAGGGAGGGAGCCTTGCATTTCAATATAGGGGTGATGGGAGGGGGAGGGGGGACTCAGGTGGTCTCCTAGCAACAGATAAAGGGCCCAAGTGTCTTGGTAGCAGAAGACACATCTAGATTTAGGTAGCCTTATCCAAAAGCTACACTATTACAATACAACTTGTATCCATTTACAATTCTAGCCATTCCAAACCAATGAACAGCCTTGCAGCCACCAGCCCAAACTGCAAAACTTTATTTACAAGGATTACTCAAAATCTTTCACATTTGTTCCTGATCTGTTCTTTTCTCATCCCCACTTCTCAGCCATAACATCAAACTTCTTAACTTCTGGATTTTCCCCAAAGACTCTGATTTGACTGCCTCATGCCGTGCTCCTCGCTGCCCCATGATGTCTTAAATAGGAACTTCCATTGTACTTCTTATGGAACAAAACTTAAAGAAAGATATCAACCATTCAGCTGTGCCCTGACCAGATCAGCTTAATCCTACCTCCCCCTCTTACCCTCCCACACCATAATATGCTGGAAAATGACTGCTTAGGATTTCCTCAAGGATAGTCATTATTGCGGTTCAAGGATAACCCAATCATCAACTGTTTAGCATATTTGTGTATTGTTTTCTAATGCAAATTTTGTCAAGAGACACCAGTTGATGTTTCTGGCACTGTGTTGGAAACACACACAAACCTTTGGAAATATTTCATGTCCTATAAATTCAAAGGGGAACAAATTAACTTGTCATAATTATAGATAAATAACTCTTTGGATGATTTGCTATGTTATAATATGAGATAATTATATCTGAGTGCATCATCCCAAAATGATACAGTCATATTGGTCTGCTCTAACATATGACAAAATGCCAAATTTGCCCTTGAAAAAATTATATTAAAAATTAGAGTTATAGGGGCGCCTGGGTGGCTCAGTTGGTTAAGCGACTGCCTTCGGCTCAGGTCATGATCCTGGAGTCCCGGGATCAAGTCCCGCATCGGGCTCCCAGCTCGGCAGGGAGCCTGCTTCTCCCTCTGACCCTCTCCTCTCTCATGCTGTTTCTCTCTCGCTCGCTCTCCAATAAATAAATAAATAAAATCTTAAAAAAAAATTAGAGTTATATTTTTATGAAACTTGTAATGTCATTCTTGATGCCAAGTTTAGCATTCTTCCGTAGGAGCAATATTGCTAATTTTCTAATTTAGTTTTCTTACTTTATATAAACACTAGAAAGATTAATGGTAGGCATGGGTGTGGAAAGGAAGAATAAACTAGCTACTACTCTCTTCGTAAAAGTTGGGAGTATGATAGAATATATAAGGAAATATATTTGAAATCATCAAAATACCATTTCTTTCAAATAATGTACATAATATATTAACATATTAACATTTGACTCACATACCAAATGGACAGACTAAACCAAAGAAATATCCAATCACTGTTCTAAAGTAGGTTACTAACAAGTGAGGCAAGAGAAATGGTATATATAAAGTCAAGAAACAGAGAGTAACTCATCACTTTTACAAGTAAGTAAGCTTTAACTAAAGGCTGCAACAACTATGAGCTAAGTTAGAATGGGAGATTCTCTGAGATCCCAAGCCCATAGTTATGGTTTTAGATTTATTTTGAAAGATGTATTTTCACTTGCAAAGTAACTACATCTCCATAGAAAGACATAACTCTAAGGGGCGCCTGGGTGGCTCAGTCGTTAAGCGTCTGCCTTCGGCTCAGGTCATGATCCCAGGGTCCTGGGATCGAGTCCCACATCGGGCTCCCTGCTCGGCGGGAAGCCTGCTTCTCCCTCTCCCACTCCCCCTGCTTGTGTTCCCTCTCTCGCTGTGTATCTCTCTGTCAAATAAATAAATAAAATCTTTAAAAAAAAAAAAAAGAAAGACATAACTCTAAAAAAAAGTCACCATTGAGGATAAAAAATTAGAGGAAAAGAATGAGTTGTTATCTTGTTTTTTTTATAGATATTCCTTCTAAGAAGCTGAATAAAAATGAAAATATACTAGCAAGAGTTGAATCAGCCTCAATATGTGTTCTCAAATCACTGTGACCTTGGACAAGTGGGATGACCTCTCTGATACTTAGTCTCCTTATCTGTTGAAAGAGAAAATGGTTCTGATCTAATGAACTGATATTTAATAAAACTTCCTACAAGACATGTCTATAAATAAATACCAGATATTTCTCTTTCCTCCCTGCATACCTCCATTGTATAATTATTTATTTATATGTTGGTCTTTGCTGCTAGACAACATGTGCACATGTACTTGGAGACCATAAACTGCATTGTGTAAACATCTGAAGAGCCTGTATAATTTCTGGCACATAAGAAGAGCTTAAAAAGTACTAGTTAGTTAAGTTAGTGATTCATATAGCACAAAAGTTGAAATTTCCTGGAGGTAATATACATCTGATATACAAAAGACCCATATTTCATATTGTTAAAAGTAATAAAGCAAAATCTCTATTCAATGGCATATATGTCAATTTTATGAAATAAAACCTTTTTTAAGTTAGGTGATATAAAACTATACTTGAACTCTATTTCTAAGAATTAGTTCAAGAGAGGTATTTTCAGTGGTGGGCACACAAGAATAACAGCCTTTGGGACTCACAGTAGTTTATATTGTTAATCTTACATGGGGTGCCTGGGTGGCTTAGTCAGTTACGAATCCAACTCTTGATTTCAGCTCAGGTCATGATCTCAGGGTTGTGAGATCAAGCCCCATGTCAGAGATTGAGATTCTCTCTCTCCCCCGATCCTGAATTGTGTGCTTTCTTGTTCTCTCTCTAAAAATAAAGTAAAATAAAATATATTGTTAATCTTACTCAATTATATACATATAAAAAGGCAAATGATAATAGCATAAGCAACACTATGTTAGACATCTCAGTGTCTTGCAAATGGACCAAATATCACTGTGAGAGTAAGAATAATTCACATATTTAGATATAAATGTTAGTTAGATATGTTGTTTATATGAGATTTTAAAATATCATGAAGAAAAATACATGAACATCTTTGTGAGGGGCACATTTTGAGCAGAAAGTAAACAGGAATGCATACAAACAGGCCTCTGTCATTGTACTTCCTAGGATTTGAGTTGAGTTCACACCTATCTGTGACATAATCCTGGTCATGGACAAATCTAAGAAATCAGACAAATAATTGTAAAATGAATTGATAGAGGATAACTATGAGGCCTCTTTAAAAAGCATGTGGCTCAAGAGAAGAGAATTTAACAGTCAAGAAATATTTTTATTGCTTAGTAACTGTTTAGGTAAAGTTCTAATTCCTAGGAATACAAAAGTAAACCAAATAGCTTCGTTCCCTGCCATAATTTTCCTCAGACTGTATGATCCAAAAACTCAAGATCACTAAAAAAGACTTTTGCCTATGTGTTATGTGCTAGAACATAGGTTTAAAACAACACAGGTTTAAAAGAGTGAGAGGGAGAATAAAAAAAGAAATGCCTAGGATGAAAAGCAGACCAGCTGGGTTTAAAACTTTGATGGTGAATGTGATGATTGGAAATCTAGGGGAATCCAATAAATATCACTATTCTTCTATTCCTGACTTTAAAGCCAGTTGAAAGCTAACACAAACAGATGAGGAGCCAATTAGCTTCATTAAAGATGAAGGCTGATACTGGAGAACACTACTTGTATCTGCAATTTAGGAAACTTTCTAACAATGAAAAACACTAATAATCCAACTAAAATGATCTACCTAAGGTTTTGCCTGGAACTGAAGGAGTTCCTCGAATATAGGACATTGAGTACTATAACTAGCAGTCGACTGAGCTGACCTGTACTTGCAGGTGCATGGTTCATGGATGCTCCTATGACCATCTTAGGGCTGGGATTTGAAAGTATTACTGTTCTTCATAACATAGCTTCCCTTTGAAGAATCTCAGCTCAGTACAGTCCTCTGAGGCAGAATGTTCTGGGAAAGGGTTTAGCCTGGTCAACTTTTCTTATCAAGTAGCCCACACTGCATTCACTCTTTCTTTATGACAACTCCTTGTCTGTGTATGTGCGTGGGGGCGGGGGGTCATAGAATAAATTTTGTTTATATAATATAAACTCTTTTTCATTTAGAATAAACTATTTTACTCTTTTTAACCTGATCCTTATCTGTTTCTTCCCTCCTCCCCACTAGGTTGAAGTTGCACATACAGAGGGATCATAACTGGTTGCCATTGAATACTATGGTATCTGGCATAGAGTAGGAACCTAATAACTATGTGTGAATAACACATGAATGAAACAATGTATACAACTAAATCATGCAGGGAAGGACTGTGGATGAAAATGCCTTACTTCTTCAAGACAATTTGAACAGGAAGGACCTAGATTCCAGGTCAGCTGGTATGTTTTAGTTCTTCCCCAGTCTCAACTAAAATCTGGGATTACCAGAAATGCTCCAACTTTACTGTTAACTACTGTTCCACCATTCAGAAAGGGGCAGAGTCCAAATCTCTACTAGTCTTGTTCACCAAGCTATACAAAAAGGAAGAAATGAGCAAAATATTTGGCACGTTAATTATCCTCTAGAAGAGATATTTTGTAGCTGTAAAATGGAAATAAAACCTACTCTACTGATTCTTGAGGAAAGTAAGTTAAATAATGCAATCAAAGAAATTAGCCCAGTGCTGGGAAAGATAAGTGCTTAATCAGCAATTGGTGTCATTGATAAAAGCAGCAAATAATTTGACTTGAATGACTTTAAGTTGCTACTGCAAAATGTGAGTCTTCAAGTTTGTGAAGGCTGTATTATGCTTTTTCAGAGATGTTTTTATTGATGCATTCATCCATACATTCAAAATCTTTATTGAATATTTATACATGATAATCCCTTTTATTTTTCTTGGCACTGGAGATAACAATGATCAAAGAAGACAGAATTGCTGTGCCCTCAAAGAACTATTAGTCTAATGACTCCTGAATTAATATAGATTTAGTATCTTAAATAAGAAAGAGAAGATTGCAGGAAAAGCTATAATAATAACTATAAATGTAACAATTTAAAGTGAGGAGGATGAACTACCTGAAAAAATAGCCAACAAATTTAATAAATTGATCAATAACATGATGGGAGTTTGAGGTTCACAGGAGGAATAGAAGTTACTTAAAGGTGAGGACAGTGATATTAAAATGTGCATGCAAACTAAATTCCTTTTATAACGTGTTAATACTCCTTCTATACCATTAACATTTGTACATTCACTTTTAAGCATTCTGTTCAAGTAAAGGATGTGAGTTAGAAAAATGTCACCATGGTGGAATCTAGATCTCATCTAAGTCCTTCTGTAAATCACGTGTGTGCTGTTAGCCAAGCTGCCTGAGCATCAGTTTTCTCTTAAAACAAAGACGAAATTCATTTAAGCTATAAAATTTAGTTTCCAAATCAGGGACTTAATATGTAATTCAACATTGTTGGAATCACCCCACAGAGGAGGAGTGGACCCTCATTCACAAACCTGGTTCAGCTTTTCAGACTGATGAAGCCACACATGAGCCAAGAGGGTACTAAAAGGTTTATTACTCACAAGATGGGGATTCCTGGGGAGAGTGTGCTTGTCTCTCCATCAGGCTTGAAAATGACTAAGAGGGCAGAAAGGAAAAACTTGTTTGGGGTTTTATGGTAGTTAAGGGGTGAGGTTAGAATGAGAATTCCCATGTGAACCAGCACTGCAAAGTCTGAACTTCCCACGTGTGCCAAAGGAGGGAGCACTTGGACTTTCTTGGCTTGCTCAGATATGGGGCAATAGGAGAAGGGGGAGTGGTGGCCCTTGAAAGCTGTCAGCAGCCAAACATCAAAAATGGAGTCAGACTCTTTATTACAAGCTTACAGACCAGGGACTTTGCTTCATCAGTGCCAAACCAGCCACCTTCTAGACTGTTCTTCTTGAGGTGGTTGAAATTTATTCATGAGAGTGTTGCTGAACGCTCAGGCCCTTTAGCAACCTAATGATTTATTCACATCATGCTTTTTATTAAGAAAAAAATGGCAATATAGCTGATTCATTAAGCAATTTGTTTAAGGTATCCCATGCTTGAATTTACTTGTTAAACTTGAACGTTTAAAAATGTAAAATGTGGGGGCGCCTGGGTGGCTCAGTTGGTTAAGCGACTGCCTTCGGCTCAGGTCATGATCCTGGAGTCCCTGGATCGAGTCCCGCATCGGGCTCCCTGCTCAGCAGGGAGCCTGCTTCTGCCTCTGACCCTCCCCGCTCTCATGTGCTCTCTCTCTCTCATTCTCTCTGTCTCAAATAAATAAATAAAATCTTTAAAAAAAAAATGTAAAATGTGGGGTGCCTGGGTGGCTCAGTCTTTAGGTGTCTGCCTTTGGGTCCAGTCATGATCCCAGGGTCCTGGGATCGAGACCCGCATGGGGCTCCCTGCTCAGTGGGAAGCCTGCTTCTCTCTCTCCCACTCCCCCTGCTTGTGTTCCCTCTCTCGCTGTGTCTCTCTCTGTCAAATAAATAAATAAAAATTTTTAAAAATATGTAAAATGTGTACATACTGCTTAAAAAGGGTTAGTTAGGCTAAAAATTCAGCAACTTTTCAGTGGTTAGCATTGCAAAAACTCTTTGCCTGATAAGACATAGTTAATTTTTTTTAAAACAAAATTTATAATGTGTTTAAATTTAAAAAATATTTCTAATATTTTGAAAATAAAATTCCTTGCTTAGACATAGAAATCAGGCCACTTTGTGTGCTGAGACTCTCCCTTGCATGTGGCACACTCAGAGGCACACGTTCTCTAGAAAAAGATAATCATAAACATCTGTCTGTTCAGTGGTATTTTTTTTCATTATTATACATGAAGAGACTAGTCCATGGACTTCTATGGATAAAGAAATATGAAGTTTTACATGCACTATTGGAATCTTTGGTTTAATAAAAGCCTAGTGCAGTGTGGAAAATATGTAAAATATGTTGATTTACTATCTCTTAGAGAATTTCTAAGGAAGTATTCATAAACTTGACTGCCTTTAAAAACAAAATGAAATCCTTTTATAAGTCTATAGTTTGATATATTCCCAAGTTAACTGCTTTTGTCTTTACTTTTTTTTTTTTTTTAGGTACACCATGGCTGTGAGCCCAATTCACCTATTAAGAACTGTGGGTATTCTGATATTTACATTGCAAATTCCAAATGGAGATTTAAAATTTGATTGTTAGGCCACAGGGATGTGTTGAGAACAATTCCACTCAAAGACAGAAAAACAACCAGACTTGCAAAATCTGTAGGTGTGAGCCACACAGCGAGAGTTTTTCAGAGCCATAGGTTTGGGCTCAGGAGCATTCAGGTGAACAGGTCATGTATTTCTCCATATAGATTTATATAAGCTATAGAATACATTTTTTTCTCACCAAAACCCAGAAATTGAGTTCTCAGAACAGTCTTATCTATATAGTCTAATGCATTTAGACAATTGACAGATGTGCTATGAGTTTTAACTAAACTAACATATTTTTGTATTAAAAATTATTTCCAGCTGTCTTTTTAAAAACTGCCCAGTACTTGATATTCCTCTTCTTAGAAGTTTTTAAACCAGGGGATTACATTCACTATCTCAGGATAATTAAATGTCCTAAATGGGGTTTAAATTACCTTGAAGGTTAATATTTATTGCAGTATTTCTCATCTTGTTACTACATTCATCAAGAGTTTAAGGTGACATAATAAAGGATACATTCAAGAAAATTGTCAATACAAAAAATACTACAAGGGAAAAAATATCAAACACTTAAGTCAGCATAGTTATTGTA